AATGGCAATGACAATGACAACGGCAACGGTAATGGCAATGGCAATGGCAATGGCAATGGGGATGGCAATGGTAATGGTAATGGCCATGGCAATGGCAATGGTAATGGTAATGGCAATGGTAATGTGAATGGGAACGGGAATGGGAATGTGAATGGGAATGGGAACGGGCATGGAAATGGCAGTGGTAGTGGTAACGGAAATGGGAATGGTAAGGTCAAATGTAAAGGTAGAGGTAAAGGTAATGGTAATGGTAATGATAATGGCAATGGCAGTTGTAATGCTAATGGCAATTGTAATGGTATTGGGAATGGGAATGTTAATCGGAATGGTAATGGTACTGGCAACGGTAATGGTAGTGGCGAAGGGCAATGGCAATGGCAATGGTAATGGTAATGGTAGTGGCGAATGGCAATGGTAATGGTAGTGGCGAATGGCAATGGCAATGGCAATGGTAATGGCAATGACAGTGGTAATGATAATGGTACTGGGAATGGTAATGGTGACGATAACGGTAATGGTAATGGTTATGGCAATGGTAACGGGGTAGCGATTGGCAATGGTAATGGGAATGGCAACGGCAACGGCAATGGCAATAGCAATGGCCATGGCAATGGTAATGGTCATGGTCATGGTCATGGTCATGGTCATGATAATGGTAATGGTAATGGGAATGGGAATGGGAATAGGAATGGGAATGGGAATCGTAGTAGTATTTGGAATGGGAATGGAAATGGTAGTGGTAGTGGGAAAGATAATGGCAATGGTAATGGAAATGGTACTGGTAACGGTAATGGTAACGGCAATGATGATGGGAATGGGAATTGTAATGGTGATGGCAGCGGTAATGGTAATGGTAATGGAAATTGTGTTGGTAATGCGAATGATAATGGCAATGGTAATGGTGGTGGCGAATGGTAATGGTAATGGGAATGGTAATGGTAACGGTAATGGTAACGGGGTGGCTACTGGCAATGGCAATACCATGGCAATGGCAACGGCACTGGCAATGGCAATGGCAATGATAATGGCAATTGTAATGGCAATGGTAATGGCACTGGCAATTGTAATGGCAATGGTAATGGTAATGGTACAGGTAAAGGTAAAGATAAAGGTAAAGGTAATGGTAATGGTAACGGTAATGTGAATGGGAATGGGAATTGGGATGGGAATGGTAATGGTAATGGTATTGGGAATGGGAATGGAATGGGAATGGGAGTGGGAGAGATTGAGAGAGAGAGAGAAAACGAGAAAGGAAACATCAGCATAATGATGAGGAACAAAGTGAAATATCGTAAATTTTCGTCTAAAACCCACAGCGACTCCACAATCCCCCGGCCTCTTCTCCTCCTCGTCCTCCTCCTCCTCCTCCTCCTCCACCTCCTCCTCCTCCTCTATCTCGTTGTCATTCTCCCTCCTCTTCCTCCCTCCGCCTTCTCCTTCCTCATCCTTTCTCCTCCTCCTCCTTCTCATCCTCCTTCCTCCATCGTCCGCCTTCTGCCTCCTGCCTCCTCTTCCTCATCCTCCTCCTCTCCTCCTCCTCCTGCGTCGTCGTTGTCGTCCTCCTCCTCCGCCTCATCCTTCTGGCTCCTACTCCTCCTCCTCCCTCCATCATCCAACCTCATTCTCCTCCTCATCCTTTCCTTCCTCCTCCTCCTCCGCCTCCTTCTCTGTCTTCTCAACCTCCTCCTCCCTCCTCCTCATCTTCCTCCTCCTTCCTCCTCCTTCCTCCTCCTTCTCCACCTCGTCCTCCCCTTTTTCCTCCTCCTTCCTCCATCGTCTGCCTCGTGCCTCCTACCTCCTGCTCCCACGCCTCCTCCTGCTCCTTGATATGCATTCTCCTCCTCCTCCTCCTCCTCTTCCTCCCTCCATCCTTGACACTGCATCTTCGGGGGGGACCTCGCCTGTCCCCCAAGTTGGTGTCTTTTCACGTGCCCGACGCGGGCCCGATGCGGACTCGACGCGGATTTGTCGTGGATCCGACGCGGCGTCGACACGGATCTGACGAGTCCCACATGTTTTCGACAAGGATTCGATGCGGATAGGACCGCGACGAAACAGACAAGGCCCCCCAAGGATGCAACATGACATTCTCCGCTTCCTCCCTTCTACTCCTACTCCTCCTCCTCCTCCTCCTTCTCCTCCTGCCTCTCCCTCCTCATCCTCTTCCTCCTCCTCCCTCCTCCTCCTCCTCCTCCTCATCCTCATCCTCATCCTCATCATCATCATCTCATCATCATCATCATCATCATCATCATCATCATCATCATCATCATTCACTCCATCCTCCTCCTCCTCCTCCTCCTTCTCCTCCTTCTCCTGCTCTGCTCTGCTCCTCCTCCTCCTCCTCCTCCTCCTCCTCCTCCTCCTCCTCCTCTCCTCCTCCTCCTCCTCCTCCCTCCTCCTCCTCCTCCTCCCCCCGACTCCTCCTCCTCCTCCTCCTCCTCCTCCTCCTTCTCCTCCTCCTCCTCCTCCTCCTCCTCCTCCTCCTCCTCTGCAGGCCTCAGCATGTCCGCGCCGCGATCGGTCTCCAGGGGGATGTGGCCAGTCTGGGCCGCGGCGGCCCACAGCGGGGGCACGGAGCAGCGCCCTGGGCGGCGGAACCCCCGGGCGCGGGAGCGGCGACACCTCGAGAACGAACGAACGAACGAAGCTGCCGTCGCCGGGAAGGGCCGGCGTCCCTGCAAGGGAGGCAGGCGCGCCTGTAGCGCGCTGGCTCTCTGAGAGGACCGGGAACATACTGCAACATACGCATGGCGATTCAGTGCCTGTGCGGAGTAGGAGGAGACAAGAGAGGCAAGAGGGGCGCAGACGGATCACGAATGTGGAAAATATGGTGCGCCTCGTCACCTCCATGAGACTTGCACGTACTCGCTCTCGTACGTACTCGCTCTCGCTCTTGCAACCTCGAGAAGATTCGAAGAACAGCGAACTGCATGGTCAGAATTTCTCGAGGCTCCATCGGCGGCGAGCGAGGGAGGAACTTCGAGATTCGAACTGACTTCGAGGTTCGAGGTTCGAGGCGTTTTTTTATACCTTTTAGCCTGTGGGGGCCGTTTTCGGGCCCCGAGTCCCCCGAAACTCGATCCGGGGCGAGAAACCGCGTCGGATGGACCCCGGGAGGGGTCCAGGGACCGATGTTGACCAATCTGTTGGCGGCGAGCGAGGGGGGAAGTGAGAAGGAGAAGGCCTTCTCAGAAAGCGGCGGGGCTTCTCAGAAGCCCTCGCGCCTTCTGAGAAGTTGTTTGTATCTTCGGGGACTTCCGAGCGTTCTGAGAAGGCCTTCTCCTTCTCGCTTCCCCCCTCGCTCGCCGCCAAACAACAATGAACGGCCTGAAGAGGATTCTCGAAGGTCCACGCGGATGTCTTGGATCGGCGCTGGCCCCCCCCCTGGCGCCACCTCCTGCGATGCCTCTTGCCGCCCGCTCTGCGCGCTGGGGCCTAGGGAGGGGGGGTCTAGCGCTGAGACGAGAAATCCGCGTGGAGCTGCGAGAAATTACAGTCGTGGCGCTGAAGAAGGATCCCTTTTCGTTGGGGAGGGGCTCGGTGTTCCTTGATTGTTTCAGAGTCTGTCTCAGGTTTTCCAGAAGTTTTCTATGGGAAATCGGAGCTTAACTTATGGGAGAAAGAGGCCTCGTTCCTTATCTTGTGTTCCTTAGGTCAACGCACCGACTGTATGCTCATGCCAGAAATGCACACGTGGATCAGGGCGCGCGGGCTGGTGACCGGCCCCGCTTCCACGCTAGACCGACGTGATCCGTTGCGACATCGGGCGGCACCAGCCTCGTGTGTTCGGGCGGCTCTTCCCCGAACCGTGGACGTGGCGCCCATGCGCCAGATCTACGGATCCCTAAGCCGTGTCGGAGGAGCAGGAGTAGGAGGAGAGTGGAGAAAAGGAGAGAAACATAATAGGGAGAGGGAGGGAGGACGAGGATATCAGGGACTGGGTGTTTGCGTGCGGTCTATCTTTCGTCATTGTGTGAGGGCACGCATCTGGAAATCATTGCGTTGCATCCCCCTCTCCAGCCCTTAGGGATCCTCCTGACACCTTTCCCTCTATCATTACACGATATGAATAATACTCTCCACTCTCCCCTGGTAGCGTCCGGGATATATTCGCCCCCCCTCCGCGTACGGTTTTTTGCACAGGATTACGGTGAGACGGGTTTTCGCTTGGGTCTTGGGTTTGTTTGTCAACATGCTCCTCTCGCTGAAGCGCTGGCCTCATTTTCGAGCTACCGCTCGTTCCGAATCGTGCTCCCGCTGCAGCGTCGGCCTCATTTCCGCGCTTCCGCTCGTTCCCAACCGTGCTCCCGCTGCAGCGCTGGCTTCATTATGTCCAGTGCCATGCCACGGCAGAGTTTCAGGGCCTTCCAAATAGGCCCCAAATTCTACAAAATGGCTTCCCGAAGAAACCATCGGAAGTGATTCCACATTCGGTGTCGGTTGGTTGATTTTGTGGGCCGCAGAAGCCCCCCCCCCACTGTGGGACGTCGCCACGCCATTCTATGTCATGCTACGGGTTGATCTTCAAAACCGTGCTATGCCATGTAATGCTATGCCATGCTACGGCGTCCGATTGTGCGAATAGAAAGAAGATCTACGCCATGGTAGGGATGGGACGGAAAGGCAGGACGTCAGATATGACGCGAGCGCACCTAGCTTGTCGTCGTCCCGTCCCTTTTCATCCCCTTCCTTCTTATCCCCCTCTTACTCCTGCCCTCCCCCCCGGGGCCCACGCAAGGCCGACAGAGCCGGGGGCGCGCATCGCTGAAGAAATCACGCCAGGAGGTTGTTGGCCATTCTCGACTTCGGGGGGCCCTCGCCGGGCCCCTGGACCGTCCCAAAAGTAGTCGGGATTGGAAGCAGGCCCGGGAGAAAGCGTCGGGACCTCCGGTGGCCCCGCAGTGAAGACATCAGGTCGTCGCGCGTCTCGGTGCCAAGCGGGGGGGGGGGCGGCAGAGGGGCGGGGAGCTCACCCGCGCCCCCCTTCCCCTGGCAAGGCCCGCCGACCTGCAGCCGGGCAAGAATGACCGCGAGGTCCTGGGCGCCTTTTGCTCGCCTCCGCCGGCCGTTCGCGCCGGGGGCGCGCACGGGAATGGAGCGAGGCCTGGCAGGAGTTCGGCACGATCGGGATGTGCGCGGAAAAAATCCGGGGAGGAAGAGGTTTTTGATATTGCCGCTCGTCCTGGAGAGCCTTCGCCGCCACGGCCGGATTCTCCTCGGACTTCGGGTCGGGGCGCGCCCCACTGGAGGTCCGTGGCGCAGCGGCACTGGTGTCTTTCCGCTTCTTCCAGCTGCCCGTTTTGAACAACATTTGCTGTAGGTGCCGCCACAGACGTTGTCCACGTGCGGCAAAGAGGTCGCCTGCCCAGCAGCGGCGCTGCGATGTTGGACAACACTTGCTGTCAGAAATCAGAAATCGCAGCCATTTTGTCCTCACCCTTTCGGGCGTGCCAGAGATCCGGGGGGCGGTAGCCGACAAAAAAACAAGCGGCGTAAACAGATTCTCAGAGGCCCGCGCGGATTTTTTGGATCGGTGCGGGGTCCCCCTGGCGGCGTCTCCTGCGCCGCCCCTTACGCGCTCGCTCAGCACGCCGAGGAGGGGGATCCAGCGCCGATCCAAGAACTTCTGGCGGAGCTCCAGAAGTGTATGTTCGCTAGGTTCATGTGACCGCTATTCCGCCCATTCTCGTGAGGTCATGTATTGGACTGGGTTACTGCCCCGCATTTTTTCCCGGAAAGGGATCGAGCCCAGGGTTCTCTTTTAGAGGTTTACCCCCGGATCTGACGGCTGTAGGGCCGGCGAAATTATTCTGCTATAAATTACATGCGGGAGTAGGGCCGGCGGAATTATTTTTGAGGATGTCTCGAGCGAAACGCTTGTTTTGCAGAATTTGTTGAGGATGTCTCGAGCGAGACGCTGGTTTTGCAGAGTTGGGGATGTCTCGAGCGAAACGCTTGGTTTCAGAATTTGTTGAGGATGTCTCGAGCGACACGCTGGTTTTGCAGAGCCGACCGCGACACGGAAAAGCGCCCCTCGCGCAGGAATTCCAAGGATGTCTCGCGCGTGCCGCGTCCCGCGCGCGGGTATTTGGATTTCTTGGGATTTTGACAGGATGTCTCGAGCGAAACGCTTGTTTTTCATAATTTGTTGAGGATGTCTCGAGCGAAACGCTGGTTTTGCAAAATTGGAGGATGTCTCGAGCGGTGGCCTCGTGGGGGGCCAGAATTCAAAGGATGTCTCAGGCGAAATGCTTGTTTTCACGTCCCGCTCGCAGGAATTCCGAGGATGTCTCGCGCGTGCAGCGTCCCGCGCGTAGGAATTCAGATGATTTTGACAGGATGTCTCGAGCGAAACGCTTGTCCCCAGCACGTTCCGTAGCGCGTCCCCTTGGCAGGTCCCGCGGTGCGTCCCCATGGCACGTCCCTTGGCACGTCGCTTGGCGCGTCCCTTGAGACGTTCTGCGTCGCGTCCTCCTGGCATGTTCCCCTGTCCATTAGCTCTGGGGCAGCTACTATGTGTTCAGGCAGCTCGAGCTTAAGATCCAGATCAGTTCGGTCAGGACTCGGATGCAAAGGAGGACTCGATCCACGAGGCTATAGAGCACAATCGCGCCATGGCACATCGCAATTCAGCACGGCGCAGCACAGCACTGATTTCGGCACGGTACATCAAGGTCGATACACTCAGCATTGCAACTTGGCACGTTCCTTGGCACGTTCCGTGGGGCGTCCTTTGGCGAGTCCCCCTGGCACGTCGCGTGGCGCGTCCCCTGGCACATCCCGTGGCACATCCATTGGCACGTTCCGTAGCGCGTCCCCTTGGCACGTCCCGCGGTGCGACCCCATGGCACGTCCCCTGGCACGTCGCCTGGCGCATCCCTTGGGACGTTTCGCGGCGCGTCCTCCTGGCATGTTCCCCTGTCCATTAGCTCTGGGGCAGCTACTATGTGTTCAGGCAGCTCGAGCTTAAGATCCAGATCAGTTCGGTCAGGACTCGGATGCAAAGGAGGACTCGATCCACGAGGCTACAGAGCACAGTCGCGCCATGGCACATCGCAATTCAGCACGGCGCAGCACAGCACAGCCCTCGGCAGGGTACATCAAGATCGATACCTTCAGTATTGCATTTGCCCGTCACCCAATCAGGTGTCTTTGAAAACGCTGCCATGTGTTACAGTTCTACATTCCTTTCCGGGTTCGTGGGTCGATCATGTTTCTAAGTTGGGGGTGATCTTGTCAGTGGAGGCCCCGCCCGTTCCCTCACTTATTCTTTCCAACATACTCGAGCTCTGCGTCGCTTATATCTCGGCACCCATTATCAAACGCTCTTGCACCCAGTTATTCGGATTCCCACCCACTTAGATTCAGTTCCGTTCATGCTCACAGTAGTATTCACTCATACCCGCGCTTACAGTAGGCACGTCTAAGAGAAAAAGCAGCTTGCGGGCATGTGTTCCACGGAAGTTCCTTTTTTCCCGATGACCTCCGGGGTGGACACCGACGCCGTGGAGTAGCTTAGGACCCTCAAAGATTGACGATCGACGAATCGTGTGCCCTAAGATGTCTTGTGCCAAGATGTCCTGTCGTATGTGCCTAGTGCATCCAGCTGCTCAAACCAATACGCAATTCACATTCAGGCCCGACCGTCGTATTTCGCATGCAGCCCAGCCCGTCTGGGGATGCAGGCATGCCTCCTCTTCGAGGTGTCATGATCACCGCGGAGCAGCAGGCACCTCACAACGGGCCTCCCGAGGGAGTGGCATCACAGCTTGTCTCCAAGGGCCCGCGCGCCCCAGACTTGGTGTGACCTCTCGGGTGTAGCATTCTTTTGTGGACGTAGACTTAAGCTGGGCATGCCCCTCTTCAGGAGGAGTATCCAAAATTAGAAAAACAAAAAAAAAAGTCTGGGGACGATACAGTGTTGACTCTGTTAGTGCATTCTTTGGCTTTTTTTTGGTTCGTCCAAAATCCGCCTGTAGGAGGACATGCCCGGCCTAAACGTAGACGCGTCCCTCTTCAGAGCCGTGTGATCCGAGGAGAGCGAGGTGAGACAGCGGTAGTTGGCCTTCGGTGGGGGGGTCGTCGCCATGTCTGGGCGCAGCTCGGAACATTTGCGCAAGTGGACTTCGGGAGGATCTGGGATGAATAAAGCTGCAGTTGTCTCCAGTCGACCGCGAATCAGCAGCCGCCGCACTCGGGGCTCTCGAGGGGGGAAGGCGTGTGCGTGTGTGCGTGCCCCGTATCTGGAGAGGGGGGGCACCCGATCGAAGACGCCTGCGGCGAGTCGCCGCCGCCCCCTCTCACCTTTTGGGAGCGCCTATGTGGCTGACATTTGGTGGTGGGCTTGTTTTCCACCACCACCACCAGAAGTAGGAGGTGGAGGGGGTCCTCCTCCTCCTCCTCCTCCTCCTCCTCCTCCTCCTCCTCATCCCTATCCTCCTCCTCCTCCTCCTCCTCCTCCTCCTCCTCCTCCTCCTCCTCCTCCTCCTCCTCCTCTTGTTCCTCCTCATCCTTCACCTCCTTCCCCTCTCCAACGCATGGTGGTGGTTGTGGAAAACATGCCCATCATTTGGGGCACATTGGCCAAGCTCTCTGATCATGTGCCCCCCGAGCCGGTTTGGAAAGCCTTGGGGGAACAGTTGGGGGAGGAAGGGGAAGGGGAGGAGAGGGAGGAACAAGCAGGAGTGGGGAGGAGGCATCTTGAAAGCCTCTTGGGGCATTTTTTTGCTCTTGGGGCTTTCTGGGAGCTTCCTGGGGGCCATTTGAAGGCCTCTTGGGGGGCCTCCTTGGGCCTCTTGGGCGCTTTGGGGGGCTTCGGGGCCATCTTGGAGGCCTCTTGGGCGATCTTGGGGCGATCCTGGGGGCCTCTTGGGCCGTCTTGGGCCGTCGGGAGGCCGAAGAGGTGCAAGTGCAAGAATCCTTCAAACACTTAGGGAACATCAATGATTGTTGGCCTCTTCGGGTCCTCCTAGGAACCTCTTGGAGGCCTCTTGGGCCGTCTTGGACGCTTCTTAGGAGCTTCTTGGGCCGTCTTTGGCCGTCTTGGATGCTTCTTGGTCGGATGTGTGAGAATATTGGGCCTTGTTGGGGCGTCTAGGAAGCCATCTTGGACTCTTTGGGGCTGTCTTGGAGGGCCTCGTTGGCCACCTATGGGCGCCTCTTGGGGCCGTCTTTGTGGTCTTCTTGGGCCGTCAGGAGGTCATCGTAGAGGCCTTTAGGACCATCTTGGCACGATATTGGGGGCCTCTTGGGCCGTCCTGGGCCCTCGGAAGGCCGAACAGAAGCACATCCCCAAATCATCGAACTAAAACGAGGACAACCAATTACTTTGGCCTCGTCGGGTCCTCCTAGGAACCTCTTGGAGGCCTCTTGGGCCGTCTTGGGCCGTCTTGGCTGCTTCTTGGGCGGACTTGTAAGCATCTTTGCCCTCGGTGAGCGTCTCGGAGGCCATATTGGACTCCCTTGTGCCCTTTGGAGGGCCTCTTGGGCCACATTGGGGCCCTCTTGGGGCCCCCTCGGAGCCGTCTTCGGGGCCTCTTGTGCCGTCCTGCGGCCATCTTGGAGGCCTCTTGGGCGCGCTGGGGGCGATGTTGGGGACATCTTGGGCCGTGTTGGGCCGTCGGAAGGCCGAGAAGTAGCAACCACGAAAACCCTTAAAGACTACGGAATAGTAGTCATTTTACTCGTCGGGCCCTCCAAGAGGACCTCTCGGGGGCCTCTTGAGCCGTCTTGGAGGCCTCTTGGTCACCTCTTGGGCCGTCGTGGGCCGTCTTGGAGGCTTCTAGGGCGAGCTTAGAAGTATCTTGGACCCTCTTGGGCCGTCTTGGAGGCCATCTTGGACCACCTTGGGCGAACTTAGAGGCCATCTCGGGCCATCTTGGCCGTCTTAGAGGCCATCTTGGGTCATTTTGCAGCAGGATAGACATTGACAGGTACATGTTCGGCGGCTTTCCGGGTGGCCAGCGGGAGGGGCCGAAGCCCCAGCATGCTGGGCACCCGTGTGATAAATCAACAGGAGTCGGCGGATCGAAGACGCCTACGGCGAATCACCGCCGCCCCCTGCCTTTTGAAATCGCACATGTGGCCGAGCATTGTGGCAAGAGCTCCGCCAAGCTATCGGACCTTGCGTTGCCCCAACTGTTGTGGAAACCCTTCGGGGAACGTTTGGGGGGGGGATGGCAGGGAGGAGGTCACCACCTACCAAACCACCCCAACCCAACCCGAAGGCCTCAATTTGCCATCCATTTCCAGTGGGGGGGGTCGGGGAACGATGAAAAAACACATGGAACCCGTACCTCCCCAACCCGAAATTCAGGTCAAATTCGGGTCTTCGGGTTGGGTTGGGGTGGTCTGGTAGGTAGTCAGGAGGAGGAGGAAGAGGAGGATGAGGAGGAGGAGGGAGCATCTTGGAGCCTCTTGGGGCACCCTTGAGATCTCCTGGGAGCTTCCTGGGAGCCACTTGGGGGGCATCTTAGGGATCACCTTGGGCCTCTTTGGGGCCTTTGGGGGCTTCCCGGGGTCCTCTTTGGCCCTCTCAGGGCATTCCTGGCCCGTCTGACGCCGTCGGAAGCCGTCTCGGGGGTCTCTCTGGGCCGACTTGGAACCCTCTTGGGGTGTTCCAGGGCCGTCTTGGAGGCCATCTTGGGGCGTATTGGAGGCCTCCTGGGCCGTCTGGGGGCTCTCTTGGGGCCGTCCTGTGGCCTCTTGGGCCGTTCTGGGGCCATCCTGGAGGCCTCGTGGGCGATCTTTCTGGGCTCGTGGGCCGTCTCGGGCCGTGGGAAGGCCGAACAGAAGCAATTGCCAAATTCCTTCAACAGCCTCAGGCAAACCACTTGTTTTGGCCTCGTCGGGCCTTCCTGGAGGCCCTCGCGGAGGCCCCTTGGGCCGTCTTGGAGACCTCTTGGGGGCATCTTGGGCCGTCTTGGGCCATCCAAGAGCCTTCTTGGCCCGTCTTTGTTGGATCCTGGCCCGTCTGACGCTGTCGGAAGCTGTCCTTTGGCCATTCTGATCTGCTTCTTGCCGTGTTGTTTCCCCTGGCTCTCTCTCTCTCTCTCTCTCGCTCTCTCTCTCTCTCTCTCTCTCTTTCTATCCCTCTACCTCTCTCTCTATATCCGGTGTTTTGCCTCTCCTGGCTGTTTTGTTGTTCTTGTTATGTTGTGGGTGTGTTGTTGGTGGTGGTGGTATTGTTGGTGTTGTTATTGTCGTTGCTGATGTGTAGTTGCTGGTGTTGTTGTTGCTGTTGTTGTGCTTGCGGTTGTTGTTGCTGTTGTTGCTGTGTTTGTTGTTGCTGTTGTTGATGTTGTTGTAGTTGTTGTTGTGTTGTTGTTGCTCATCTCTCTCCATGTACCTACATGTGCATCCCTCTCTGTATCTCTGTGTCTATATTCGCGCCTTGGTCCAGTATGTGTTTCTAGACTTCCCGCGAGCCAGCTGACCTTCAATTATATGTCAGAGACTGGAATGCATGCCAGGCACATGTGCGCCAACAAACTTCTGATGATTCCAAATTGGCGTCTGCGTTACCACCCGTTGCTTACTTTTTTTTGTCGAGGTATTCTTGCAGAGCCTGCCAGTGAAGGATTGCACAGAGGAGCAGATTCACGATTGGCTGCAGGGGTTCGGCGAAATCGAGGAAGCGTGTCGTGCTGGGATCTTCTGTCACGCGCAAGAAAAAGCAGAGCACATGGAGTGAGTCACCTGTGTTGCGCATTTGTGGTGGTGGCCTTCTTGGGAACACAGTGAACTGATCGTATCACCTCGTGCTGTTCCATGCTTGATTTTGTCGTTCCGAGTGCAGTATGAAGTGGATGATTGGGAAGATCTACCGGCCCCGACTTCGCAGGGGGAACGTGTTTTAGCAACGAGGGCTCAGCCAGGGGAAAGGGGGCCAGGACCGCCATCGGACTCAGGGGGCTTCAGCGCACGCGAGTCCATGCAAGGGGGAATGGGTCTGGAGGGAAACGGGGAAGGGAAGTGCCGTGGAAGTAAAGGGTCATGAAACGATTGAACAGAGAAGGTACTCCAGATTTCGTAATAAAAGGGAGGGGGTCTGGACCCTCCAAGACAAGCCATTTCAGACCTCCCCCGTGGGAGAACCCTCCAAAACATCGTCCCCAGACCCCCCTGGCCCTCCAAGATAGCCTGGAAGAGACCCCCCCCCGAAATGAGACCCCCCTCCCTTTATACCGAAATCTGGAGTATGGCAGGGTAGGAGAGGTGAGGGGAAGACAGGTTGACGGGGAGCAGGGGCGGGGAAGGGGGAGCGAGGTGGGCAGAGGGGAGGGGCGGGGAGGTGGGGCGGGAGGTGCGCAGAGGGTGGGAGGGTCGGGGCGGGAGGGGAAGGAGGGGGGAGGGTGGATGGGGAGTGGTCAAACGACGCGAAGATCGGGACAAAATCGGATCGGGATAATTCGAAATCTCTGAGAATCAGCGGGTTTGGAGGATGTATTGGGCGCCGCGGCCGCTCCAGAGCGTTCCGGAACGCTCTGAGAGCGCTCCGGAACGCTCTGGAGCGACTTATCCCGATCCCTGCCCTGTTTTAAGTGGAGCGGGTAGGGGAGGGACAGGTGGGGGTGGCGGGAGGGCAATCAGATCAATGATCTAATGTCAGCCCGTCACTTGGTTGGCCGGCCAGGCGGTTGGCTTGCTGGATGTGCAGACCTGTCCGTTCTTGCTGGCTGTTTGGCGCGTCACCCTGTTGGCTGGCCCGCTGGTTGGCCGACCGGGTGGCTGGAAGGAAGACGGGTTGGCTAGCCGATTGGCGCATCAGCAGTCAGTTGGCTGGCTGGCTAGCCAGCTGGCTTGCTAGCTGGTTGGCCTAGGAAGTCGTTTGTCTTCCCAGCTGGTTGGCAAGTCAGTTTTCTGACCAGTTTGCTGGCTGGCTGGCCCGTCATCGCGTCGGCCTATCAGCCAGGCAGCCCGTCAGCCCAGAATCTAGATTCTACTAGAGATGCCTCGGGAAGGCCAGGGTTCTTTCGTTACAGATTGAATTCGACGGGGATTCTAATCTGGACTTGTGTTAGAGTTATGGAACGCGAGAAGTGATGTAACGTGGGAGGGTATGTATGGACGTCCCAGCCAGGACAGTAAACATATAATCGCAGAAGTCTCGCGATGACAGCTTGGCCGATTGCCCGAAACTTCCCAGGGCAATGATCAGAATATCCATTCCGACAACAATTCGGGTCAGTTGTTTTGCCCCAGTTGGCGTCCCAATTCAATGGCGCACCGCATTGCTTCCGCGCGAAGCGCACAGAGCCGACGCTTGGTTGCCGTATGGCTTTTTGTTCCCAACATGGGTTATCGCCAAGGGAACGGTGCACTTACACCGATCCTGTCCAGGCCGATCTTGAGCTCAGGATTGTGCGCATGCCTCCCTGGCCAAGCGAGGAGGAGGAGGAGGAGGAATAGGAGGAGGAGGTAGTGGCTGTGCTCAGGGTGGGCCTGACCAGGATCGGTGTAGGTCCAGATCTCTCTTTCTGTGGTGGATGGTCGCTGTCAGACATAAGGCATGTTGCAGTCGCCGCGACCTCCGGTTTGCAAGAGATCGTGGAATCAGCATTCGGCCATATTCACCTACCCCTACTTTTCTGCGGCGGAGTTCACACATCTGCCATCCCATCATGCAGCCTTGGCCCCTGTGCAGGTCCGCATGATGATGCCCTGGCACCGCACCCTTCGCGGAGCCTGTCCCATTGCAAACCTCGGCCTCGGGCCAGGGCGGCGGGGCTTCTTAGAAGTCCTCTCGCCTTCTCATTCTCCGAAGACGGACGCCGTTTCTCAGAAGGCTGGAGGGCTTCTGAAAAGCCCCGCCGCCTTCTGAGAAGGCCTGCCCCCTTTCACTTCTTCCCTGGGCTCGCCGCCGCAGCACACCCTTGCCACCCAGCCTGCTTTTGCAGGAGAGGCAGACGTCTTGTGCAGCTGACTGTGGCCTCTCCCGCTCTTGCTGGTGATGCCAGCTCCTTTCTGGTGGAGCTCTGTCTCGTGCCTGCTGCTCGCCGCATGCGGCTCACTGCTTTCCCCACCGGTGCAGCGAGACGCCGCCCCAGAGGCCGACGTGGCGGGCCTGTCGAGGTCAAGGAACGTTTCCGAGGGAGCCGAAACCACAGACTTTTCGATTTCTTGGGGGCACGACCAATGAATTGCTGCTTTGTTTTTGGGACCAAAAAACAAAAATCCTTGACTCCGACAGAAATCTTTGGGACCCAAAAACAACAAATCCTTGGCCCCGACAAAAACCAAAATCCTTGGCTCTTTGTTTTTGTAACCAAAAAGCCAAAAAACCTTGGCTCCGACAAACAACAAAAATCCTTGGCCTTGTTTTTGGGACCAAAAACAAACAATCTTTGGCCCGCCCCCAAACAAAAGTCCCTGGCGCCGCGCGGTCCGTGCCGCGCCGCTCCCCGAACGCTGTGGCCGCCGTGTGGGCCCACATCACGCCCCGCCCCGCGGGCCCGACTCCTCGGGGGGCAGCCTCCTCCTCGTCCTCCTCCTCCTCCCTCCCTCCCTCCCTCCCTCTCCCCCTCCTCCTCCCCCTCCCTCCTCCTCCTCCTCCTCCTCCCTCCTCCTCCTCCTCCTCCTCCTCCTCCTCCTCCTCCTCCTCCTCCTCCTCCTCCTCCTCCTCCTCCGCCTGCCCGCGCGCGCGGAGCATCTTTGCGCCCGGGCGGGCTCGCACGCTGGCCGCGCCGCTTCCCTGGAGGCTGCTTTCTTGTGCGTCCTACCGTCGGCCCAGACTGGTAGCTACGGGGTGTGAAAACGACTACAGCCTCAGCTTTTCTTTTGATGCCGCCTTCCAGACCGCAGCAACAAAGCAGTGGTTGTGGTCATTTTCGTTGAGCTTGGCACCAGGGAAATGACCACAACCACTGCTTTTGTTTCGGCGGGCTGGAAGGCGGCGCAAACAAGAAGCAGTGGCTGTGGTCATTTTCCCGTCCCGCAGTAGCTCGACCCCGCCACATCAAGGGTGCCCTTTGTGTCCTGTTCCTCGCGGCCCACGCTTCCTACACTCCTGCGGCCATGCGGCCGTCGGAAGGGTCTTGTGTCTTCCCGCGTGTCCTGCCCAATCGAGTCCGACTGCATGGAGACGTGGCATCGCTCGGACGTGAGCCTTGTTTCTCGGCGAGAACCACCGAGGACCATCCTGGACCATCGAGCAAAAAAAAAACACGCGAAATGGACGGGAAGTGGACGTCCGAGCGACGGGAAGCCGAAAAGTGCACTGGAAATGGACGGGAATATCCAGAAACGGACGCGAAATGGACGGGAAATGCACGGGAATGCAACTAAGAACCAACGAGAAACCGAGAAACGCACGGGAAATGGACGTTCCTTCGTTCTTGGGCTTGCTCGTTCCTGGGCGACACCGGGCGTTACGGCGGGGGGGTGGGGTGGAGGGGGGCGGGGGGGCAGGGGCGGGGCGCCGGCGCCGGCGCCGTCGGGGATGATCTATCAGGAGGGGAAAACAGAGACACACACATACACACACAATTAATCGTCGATTCCCTAGAACACATGGAAAATATGGGAATTGGGCGGGAGGACAAGAACCGAGAAAAGACAGGAAAATATGGGATGTGTTTTTATTTGTGTGTATTTATTTGTGTGTCCCATGGCCCCTTTGATTTAGGAATCTCCAGAAAGACAGTTCGGGGGGGGCCTTACACTGGTCGCGACCTTGCTCCCCCCCACCCCATAACAGTGATGTTCGTGCGTGGGGGGCGGGGGGCTTGGCCCCCACGCGTGATGGTGTTCGCGCGCATCATATTCTGGCGATCGCAGCGCACCCCCGCCCCGACGTGCCCTACTTTGCCCACGCGTTACCGTTACCCCGGGCCCCAGCCACCTCCCCCCGGGTAGCGACCGTTGTTGCCCGAAGCAGTCTCTTGAGGTCTGGCGCCGCGAGAAAAAAAAGCATGCGACGTCGTAGAAATACCCCAGCAGAGCACCCTGATGGCAGCAGAGGTGAAGGGGCGGGTCGAGGAGGAGGAGGAGGTCGAGACACGGCCATGCGCACCTTGGCGTATTCCTGACAAGGAGGGTTCCTGCATGAATCACGAGGGGAGTCTTGGGCGGAAGGGCTGCCAGCCGCCGGACGGGGCGCTCTCGGGCTCCCCCGTCTCCTTTCGTGGGGCGTTTTTTGCGCTGATTCCCCGAAAAAGGGCCTGCACTTCGGGATTCCCATGTGGTGCCAAGGAACCGGGCTTGCCTGTCGGTCTGGCGGCTGCGTTGCCACCCCCGCGGCCCCGTCGCCGCGTCGTCGCCGCCTGTCGCCTGGGCCCGTGTGTCGGTCGCTGCGCTTGTCGCCGCCGTCGCCGCCCCGTCGCCGCCTCGTCGCCGCGCGTCGTCTGGGCCTGTCTGTCGGTGGCCGCGTTTGTTGCCGCCGTCGCCGCCCCACAGAAATCGCACAACAAATCACATCTATGTATATATGTATATATCTATTTATATATATATATATATATATATATAACTATACATGGATGTATAGGTTTGTATATATGTATATACATTGTGCACAACATAGATCGTACAAAATAAGGTTCACCACGTATATCGCACAACATAGATTGCACCAACTAGGCAGCAGGGATTTAACCGAACCCCCTTTTCGTTTCGCAATTTGCATGTGGTTAT